GGGGTCGAGGTAGGGGTGAAAAAAAAGAAATTTTGAAGTTGAAAATATTTTTTAAAAATAAATTTCAATTTTTTTTTGGGGGTGGAGGGGCTGGTAGGGGTGGGGTTGGGAAAAGAAAAGGCAAAGAAAATATGACCCTATCCTTTTGTATTTTAATTTCTTTTTTTTTTAATTATAAAATATGTGTAATTTTTTAATTACGTGGCAGCCACTGAGTGGCTCAATAAGCCACATAGGCGCGTTTGTAAATCACACAATTTGGCTGTTGGATTCGCGTGTTTTTTTGTTTAAGAATTGGATAGTTAAAGTGCCTACTTGTGCACTATGAAAGTTAGAGGTCATACTTAAAATTTGAAGTCAAGTTTAGGGTCCAATTTATGTATTATGCCTTTTTTTTATCATTATCTAAATAAAAAGTAATGATGGATTACCATGATTACTATATTATCAGTTAAAAAGGTACATGAACTTTTTCTATTTTTATTATTAATATAAGATTAAGAAGAAGAAAAAAGATTATTTCCTACTTATTCAATAGTTAAAGTGATTTTAAAAGATCAAACAATGAAAAAACATGTTTTCTCTCTTCTTCAAATGTAAATGAAGCCAGAAAAGGATTGTTCTTTATGTTCTTCTTCAACTTTTTTGAAACTTTGGTTTTAGCAGAGGACATTTGATCATGTCTGCTATCTAATCACGTGATGGTGCAATGCCAAACTACAGTAACAAAGTGGCTGTAGAAGAACAAGGTAGGAGATGCACACAACTTCTTATTACATTGCGTGATTCCATCTATTTCTCGACTTTGTTCAATCATGACGACTCACTGAGATATGAAGTCATCTCATCCAATCTAAAGATCTGGAGTTTCAAGGTTCGAAAAAGGATTTTAAGTTGTGAGGTGCTACTACATCTGGAGTTCCATTCCACAGTAATTCGGTGTATTTCTGGTAGGCCAGCTAGTGGGATGAACAGAGTCAAAAAACAAGTAATCTTTCACATTGTTACATAACTCGTACTCTTTTACCTGCCTCTTCCCTCCACAACTAAGAATCCCTCGAAATGGACCCGTCCCACAACAAGCTGCCTCTGATATCTTAAAACCTAAACAAAACAAAATCATAAGTAAATTAAGACTAAGGAAACACTCTTTATGTAAAAACTGAACAATTTACTCTGTGTTTTCTCTAAATATATAGTTAAGTGCAGGACCGTCTTAACCCCTAGGCCACTAAAGCATCGCTTGGAGCCCCATATTTTTGGGGAGCCCCATTTTTAAAAAATAATTATTTATATATGTTGTTTATTTAAAAATAATAATTTATATGTACTATAAATGCTATGATTTCTACTAAAGAAATTGCATATGACATGAATATAAATATGATTTTCGTAAGAAACAATTTGATGAAAATATGGATAAAGAAATCACTAAGTCCCTTGAAGAATCTTTAGAGTTGATTACGTTATATATGTAGAGTAGATCAAACTATTTTTTCACTTTAAAATAGATTTGAACCAATTGAAGCATATAAAAATATTTTTGATTTCTTATTTAGTGGTAAAATATTGAGATTACTAGATGATGAATTTTTTTAAAAAATATAGTCTTAACCTTGAACTTTCTTTAACACATACTAGTTATTCTGAATTGATGGTTTAGATTTATTTTTGAATTAAAAGTGTTAAAGATAAATAATACAAGTAGAAGATAATGATGTAATGAAAATACTCAATCAAATAAAAAGATTTGATTCTTTTTCAAATACACATATTGCTTATAAGATAATGTTAACAGTAGTTCCTGTAACCGTTGCCTCAACCAAATTTTTCTTTGTTCGAAATTAAAATTGATTAAAACTTCTTTACGATCAACAATGTCTCAAGATAGATTGAATGAATTAGCTATATCATCATTTGAAAATGAATTATTAAAACAAATTGATTATAAAACAGTACTTAATGACTTTGCATCTGAAATAGCTAGAAAAATATATTTTAAATAAAAGTACATATGATGAAAAAAAAAATTAGGGCCTCTCTCCTAAATTTCGTTTTAGGCCCCCAATGTTATTGAGTTGGCTCTGGTTAAGTGTAATTGCACTTTTTCATGAGCATTGCATCAACATGTTATTTAAACTACTTATTAGGATTCGAGAACCAAATAAAACCAGAAATGTTTCTTCTTTTTTTCTGAAGTCACTACGTAAATAAACCTTACGATAGCAGTCAGGTCTCACTTGGAAAGTCGTTTAATTTTTCCAAGTGAAACAACTTGACAAGGCTTCACTTTAAAACGGTCAGAAGGGTATCCTGCTTGTAGTTTACAAAAAGAGTATGTTTTCTAATATCTAAGAGTTAGTGGTGAAAATCACCCCTGAAGGTATCACATTTTTGTGAATTTCATATCTGAACTATCGGGTGTGCAGGTTTCATAAATGAAATTCAGGTGTGTTTCCACAGAGTGCTAATTCTTATGATCATCAATAATTACAAAGCTATGTTCATTCCTGTTCTAGAAAGATCGTTTTTGGTAGCAACCAAAAACTAATCAAACCAGTGTCGCCAGATACTGGTATGTGTTACTTTGAAACTGCATTGCGAGAACACAGTAACTAGGATATCAAAAATAAATTGCCAAACATTTTTTGAATTTTGATTTTTGCAAGGGATATTTGATGATGTCTGATGCAAAAGGACTGATTATGCTTGCTATATCTCTAATATTTTGTCACATTCATCTTTTAAGGTTGGATAATGGTGCAATGGATTACAACACAGAAAGAAGGGTCGCTAACAGACAACAACAATAATAACATACCTAATGAAATCCCACAAGTGGGCTCTGGGAAGGGTAGAGTGTACACCGACCTTACCCCTACCTCGTAGAGGTAAGGAGGCTGTTTCTGGAGGACCCTCAGCTCGAGCACAACAAAGTGGAAATTTTATTGATCTCACTATGATTCCCTAACGAAACATACATTCAAACTCAAATCCTTATCCAAATGCATAACAACTGAAAATGTAGATTGCCTGATTCCAACTAATTTCTCTACTTTGATCAATCATGAGGACTGAGGCATGAAGTCATCTCATCAAATCTAAAGTTTGACTCTTCATAAGTTGAACACAAGAACAGAAAAATTACTAGAGATCAAGCGCTTTAACATCATGTTTCACATTGTTTATTCTTTCCTTTAGTAGGCATTAACAAAACAATTCCACCAATGCTACCATCAGGTTATGTTGAAAGATCAAAAAAAGATTTTAGGTTGTGAGGGGCTACAACTGCTGGAGTTCCATTCCACAGTAATTCGGTGAATTGTTGGTAGGCCAGCTCAGTGGGATGAACAGAGTCGAAAAACAAGTAATCTTTCACATTTTTACATAACTCGTACTCTTTTACCTGCCTCTTCCCTCCGCAACTAAAAATCCCTCGAAATGGACCAGTCCCACAACAAGCCGCCTCTGATATCTTAAAACCTAAACAAAACAAAATCATAAGTAAATTAAGACTAAGGGAACATTCTTTATATAAAAATCAAAACATTTTACTCTGTGTTTTCAGAACATATTTAGTTTGTATAATTGCATTTTCTCTAATATAATAGCTATTCTTTCATGAATCAACAGTGCACAAAATATAATCGAACATAAAAATACTTGATTTTGAGTTCGATAAGATAGATATTACCAAATTTTGTTGGATTATCAATGCTTTCTGCTAATACTTTGAAGGTGTTGAATATTGTGTACTTAAATCCAGGCAATTGCTTCTCTAGGTGTTTGAGCATTTTTGGGAGAGCTGAATTAAACATCTTCGCGATGTTTGTGACCTCCTCCATGCAACTTCCATTTGTAACTCCTTTTTGAAGGTTGAGAGCCCTAACAGAAGGGACACAACCTAATGGACCCAAATTAAGCATCACAAACTTTCTCCCTCCGGCCTTGTAGACTCCCTGTTGCATTAATTCAAAGAGTTAAATTAATACATTTGACTTATCGACCACAAGATTCAAAAGTCTTTTTTATATCCTTAAAAACAGTAGTTGATTACCTTAAAAACAGTAGTCAAATTGCCCATAATCATCTGTAGATATTCTGTATCAGAATATGGAAAAGTCGAATTTGCTGATAAAGGGGCCAATACTTCATTACTGCCAGTGCTAAAAATATATACAGCATTGGAGAGGATCTGTTTGGTCTCTGTTTTCCCCACTTTCTTCTTCAACAGTTGCGCCACGTTTTGGAAATATTTCAACTGTGTTTGAAGATCTATAACCTGTCAAATGGAAACCAACATTTTTATAAAATAAAATCTATCTTGATCTAACCATCAAACTCAAACAAGAATTACATAAAAGTAAATATTGTTACTTACAAAGCCACGAGCGGTTTCAGCCAAACAACCAGAACCGGCTGAAGCAAAATTCACCCCATGATTGAAATGTTTCTTCCCAGTTTGAAAATACGGCGGAATCAATGGCAAATTAGCATATTCAGCTGCAAATACAATGAAAAATCAAATTGTTCACCTCATGTCTCAATATAGCAATAGAAATGAAATTAGAGGAGGTGTTCGAGTCAGCTTGCGTATAAGTTGATTATTTTACTAGATATTTACTACCTCCCACAATTAAATACTTTTCAAAAAATTGACCAAAACGCAAATACATTTACCAATAAAATCAGGAATGAGGCGCCCATTGGAAGTCCTGCCAGTAGGGTACTTGAAGAATGATTCCCCATACGGTAAATAATTTGCTTGGAAGCTAGCAGTGGTGTTGATGTAATTATTATTTCCAGGATCAAAAATTGAATCGCCAAACACGAAAAGGGCAGCTTGATGAGGTCTTTCATGGCACACAATTGGAGTGGCAAAATGTGCTACCAAAACAAAGATGCACAAGTGAAACAAGCTAGAGGTTAAAGCCATTAATTGTTGGATATATTGGTTTGGTTTATAGTTGCATAGAATTGGAAATATATAGTACTAGTGAAGTGCCGGATGATTTAAAAAAAATAAAATACTTGTCTGCATCCACTATCTACTCTATGTAAACACAATCATTTAGTCAGTAAACATGTTAAAATATGATGTAATTTCTTAATTATATTCTAAAGTCAACTGAGTTAGTAAGGAATTGTGGATTTTAAAAGATCTGAATAGGAAATGAAGTGTTTTTTTTTTCTTTTCGAAAAGACACCAAGAGACTATATTGTGTTGGCTAGCTGAAGTCAATGTCATGAAGCTCCTTTTTTACAGACAATAATTGATTAGTTGCGGAAACTGTCTCATTTTTATTTAAATGTTTGTACAAGAGGGAATTTTGCTAGTAGGGGTGAGCGTTCAGGCAGTTCAGATTGGATACGGAAACTTCTGTTTGGATTTTAGATCAGATTCAAGATTAAAATCTAAATAAGTTCGGATTGGATAAGTTTTCTCAAGTCCAGTTTCGGATTGATCAAGTTTAGTGGTGATTAAGCTATTGTCGTCAATTAATTGTTGTTAAAAATCATTTTTTGTGTAGTGAGACTGTGAGAGTAGGAATTTTGAGAAGATCAACATCAATGGTTTCAAAGCCATGATCATTCCTGATCCTTTTTGGTAACAATCAAAACCAATGTCTTCACAGATACTTGTATGTGTTACTTTGAAACTGCACCGCCAAAACATAGCAACCATGTTTTAAAATTTAATTGCCAAACATGTTTTTCGTTTTGTTTAGATGCAAATGAAGGCAGAAGAGCATTTGTTTTTAAGGTCTGATTATGCTAATTGATAACTCTAATCTACAGTCACATTAGGTCCAATAATGCATGACAATAGTAGAGAAATAAGGGTTGGTGTAGACGAACAAATTAACTCACTCAAACAAACAAAGAGGGGATTTTTTTATTGATTCCCTAATCAAATGTACATTGCATCATTCCAACTTATTTCTCAACTTTGTTCAATCATGAACTGAGATATGAAGTCGTCTCACTAAATCTAAAGATTGTCTCTTCATAAATCGAACACAAGATCAGAAATAATAGTAAAGATAAAGCTCCATATCATCAACATTTACATTTATTATTTTCTTCCCTATAGTTTGTGTAGTGAGAGTAGGAATTCTTAGAAGATCAACATCAATGGTTTCAAAGCCATGATCATTCCTGATCCTTTTTGGTAACAATCAAAACCAATGTCTTCACAGATACTTGTATGTGTTACTTTGAAACTGCACCGCCAAAACATAGCAACCATGTTTTAAAATTTAATTGCCAAACATGTTTTTCGTTTTGTTTAGATGCAAATGAAGGCAGAAGAGCATTTGTTTTTAAGGTCTAATTGATAACTCTAATCTACAGTCACATTAGGTCCAATAATGCATGACAATAGTAGAGAAATAAGGGTTGGTGTAGACGAACAAATTAACTCACTCAAACAAACAAAGAGGGGATTTTTTTATTGATTCCCTAATCAAATGTACATTGCATCATTCCAACTTATTTCTCAACTTTGTTCAATCATGAACTGAGATATGAAGTTGTCTCATCAAATCTAAAGATTGTCTCTTCATATATCGAACACAAGATCAGAAATAATAGTAAAGATCAAGCTCCTTATCATCAACATTTGCATTTATTTTTTTCTTCCCTATAATAAGCATTAACAGAAGAATTCCACCAATGCCACCATCAGGTTATGTTGAAAGTTTAAAAAAGGATTTTAGCTTGTAAGGTGCTACCATGTCTGGAGTTCCATTCCATAGTAATTTTGCATATTGTTGGTAGGCCAGCTCAGTGGGATGAAGAGAGTCGAAAAACAAGTACTCTTTCACATTTTTACATAACTCGTACTCTTTTCCCTGCATTGTCCCTCCACAACTAAGAATCCCTCGAAATGGACCCGTTCCACAACAAGCCGTCTTTGATATCTTAAAACCTAAATAAAACAGAACAAACCTTTTAAGTAAATTAAGACTAAGGAACATTCTTTATATAACAATCAACATTTGACTTTATTTATCTCTAATATAGTTTGTGTGATTTCATTTTGTTATGAACATTGCATCAACATTCTACTTTGTTAGCAGATCCCTGAAATTTCTGCTACAGAGTTTGAACTGAAAAGAAAAAAACAGATAAAAAAACAACCTATATATGATTTATGTCAAATTAAAGAAAAAAAAAATATATGATTTATGTTTCATCTTTCTATGATCAATTTCAATTCTTTCTTTTACTCTATTGAAGGTTTCTCATGGGGAGACTAAAAGATTCGCACCAGAAAGTCCTACATTGGTGGTAAGGCGCTCCTTAACAAATACAATTTCATACCATTTCTCGAACTGAGACATTTGGTAAAAGATAAAAGAGTACTTACCACCAATTTCTGTTGGTACTTATAGTACATCAGTACTCTTGCTAAAACAGCTATTCTTACATAAATCAACAGTGCACAATATATAATCGAACATAAAGATACTTGATTTTGACTTCAATGAGATAGAAGATACCATATTTTGTTGGATTATGAATGCTATCTGCTAATACTTTGAAGAAGTTGAATATTGTATACTTAAATCCAGGCAATTGCTTCTCTAGTTGTTTGAACATTCTTGGGAGAGCTGAATTAAACATTTTCGCCTTGTTTGTGGCCTCCTCCATGCAACTGCCATTTGTAACTCCTTTTTGAAGGTTGAGAGCCCTCGTAGAAGGGAGACAACCTAATGGACCCAAATTAAACATCACAAACTTTCTCCCTCCTTCCTTGTAAATTCCCTGTAAACAAAGTACAAAGAATTAGTCCATTTGACACGCCTAGGTCTAACTTAACGTAGAGAATGGAAGTAACAATATCTGATTTATTTCTTCAATAGATAAAAACTACTACTCGTAAATTAAATTAAATCGAAAAGATCAATATTAATTACCTTTAAAACAGAAGTCAAATTTCCCATAACCATCTGTAGATATTCTGTATCGGAATATGGAGAAGTCAAATTTGCTAATAAAGCGAAAAAGAAATCATTATTGGCAGTGCTAAAAATATATACAGCATTGGAGAGGATCTGTTTGGACTCTATTTCACCCACTTTGTTCTTCAACAGTTGTGTCACGTTTTGAAATAATTTCAACTGAGTTTTAAGATCTATAGCCTGTCAAATGAAAACAAACAATTTATAAAAAAATCCACGTAATATTGATCGATCTAACTATCATATTCAGACAAGAATTACATAAAAGGACTTACAAAGCCACGACTGGTTTCAGTCAAACAACCAGAACCGCCAGATGCAAAATTCACCCCATGAATGAAATGTTCCTTCCCAATTTCAAAATATGGCGGAATAAATGGCAAATTAGCATATTCAGCTGCAAAATAAAATAAAAATCAAAGTGATGTCTCCATATATATAGCAAAATAACATTAACTAGTAACTACCTTACCAATAAAATCAGGAATGAGACGTCCATCGGAGGCCCTGCCAGTAGGGTACTTGAAGAATGATTCTCCATAAGGGAAATTATTACTTCCTCGGGAGCTAGTATTCGGGTTGATGTACTTATTATTTCCAGGATCAAAAATTGAATCACCGAACACGAAAAGGGCAGCTTGATGAGGTCTTTTATGGCACACAATTGGGGTGGAAAAATGTGCAACCAAAACAAAGATGCACAAGCTTGAGATCAAAGCCATTGGAGTATTATAAGTTTGGTTTATATTTGCATAGAATTGGAATTATATATATAACACTCCTGATGTGCAGAATGATTAAAAAATACCTGTGTCTGCATCCAGTACATTGAAAGAGATAATTTTTAAATGTATTGAAAGAGTGTTGGTTGGTTGACAATTATTTGTAATTAGTAAACATGTTAACTTGACCCACAATTAAGAAAATGACCCCCAAAAGAGCCAATCTTTTACATTTATCTTGCCAGTGTCTCTTTCTTTAATGTATTCTGTGCATTTTTACTTGTGCAATATTAGCTTGGTGTTTTCTTAGGGAGAAATAAATAAAATAATTTCTTTATTTATGAGTTAAATTACAGAGCCATTTTACATTTTATTTTCAAAGAAAATATATATATATATAGATATTTAGAAGTAATAGATTTTCCTTTTAGTATTGTCGCAAAAATATTTAGTGGCATGACTTAATGTCATTGCATCTAAAGTCGCTAAAGCTTTTAGTAGCATTATAGAGAGGGTAGATTATAAATATTCATATTTATTTCATGCTAAATATAATATAGTGACAATCATATTATCATCGCTAAATCTTTTATTTATTTTATTGATATAAGATAAGGAAAGGCAACTCTGAATATTAACGAAGTTAATTCTCATCGCTCTCCGTATAAGAAAAAACAATTCTTTTAGTGATAAATTATCACTGATAATAAACTATATTTGACAATTCATTCCCTTAACTCAAATATTACGGGAAAAGTACTATGATTAAACTTTTTCCGTTCAATTAAAAAATTATCAATAAGAGTTGAGGAAAGCCAATTTATTTATATATAACTAACTAGGGAAGCAGTTTTTTTCCTCATAAAAATATTGAGTTGATTGAGCAAAGAATCTCTCAAATATGAGTCAGGTTTTAATGTTCGAAATTTTCTACATGGATCGAACTCGTCACATAGCGTATTTAGTACGTATTTATTGTCAGGGAAGACTTTTTAGTTTCTTTCCACCTTCCCTTCGAATTTTTATTTCCTTTCCCTCCTTTATTTTATGTATATCAGAGATATTCGTATCTCTTCAAAAATAAAATAAAAAATGTTCAACAAAAAAACTTTTTAAAATTGAAAGTCATATTCCCTAAACAGAAATCAATTGAACCAAACACATGAGGGCGCTACTTGTCCTAAGCTTATTTGATATAATACAAATCATTACTTCCACGTTCCACCGTCCCAAATTAATTGTTATATTTCCTT